GTCTATGAACTAGATTTCATCTTTCTTATATTTTCTTTATTCAGGAGTTGTTTTGGTGAAAGTTTAAAGTTATACTGTAGAAATGTATAAGTTTAGAGGGAGTAGATTCACTGGAAGTAGCCAAGAAAGGATGCATCATAAAGTGAAGAAGAGAGATGTGACCTTCAGGTTAACTAATTAAGTTCCCCTCCTAATCCATTCTTCCTCTTAATCCCTTCTCCCTCCAGTGCTATTCTTTCTGGTATATAATTGACAAAAACTAAGATTTACTGATGAGAGCCAGGATTAAGACCTGGCTGAGCAGCTATCTATGACTGCCAGACCTGTACTGATATATTCATTCATTCATTCATTTGTTAGTTCACTCATTCAAGTACTTAGTAGAGTTCTTACTACAAGCTAGTCAGCGCTCCTGCATTGGGGATACAGTGACTGGCTAGCTGGATGCCTGGGCATATTGGAAAGTTTTTGTATCCCACCTCCAAAATATATTGTGTGTGTGCCCTGGCCGGTTTGGCTCAGCGGTTGGAGCGTCGGCCTGCGGTACAGAGAGTCCCGGGTTCGGTTCCCGCTAAGGGCACGTACCTCGGTTGCAGTTTGTCCCCGGCCCTGGTTGGTCGTGCGGGTGGCAGCCACTCGATGTGTCCCTTCACATCGATGTTTCTCCCTCTCTCTCTTCCTCTCTCTCCCTCCCGCTCTGTCTGAACAAAAAATGGAAAAATGTCCTCGGGTGAGGATAAAAAACAAAACAAAACAACAAAAAACCAACAACAACAACAACAAAAACCCAAAATATATTGTGTGCTTTGAATAGTGGAACACCAAACACATCTAAATGAAGGGCATACATGTACTCATGGACATGAGAAAGACCATAGGATTAGTGGGCTTTGGGGAAAGCTAATCAGGAAGGAAGATTAGAGAACCTGGGAGACAAAAGTATCATTTCATTGAGTATGTTTGTTCAACTTTGAAAGTACTAAAGTACTTTGTTGGTAGGTTAAAAGTTCCAAGTATGTTTAATGTACTGTTATTTCATTCCTAACCTCCTTCCCCTCTCCCAAACTGTTGTTGGACTATGGTGTGTTTTATAGTTAAAAATGTCTCAGAATTCAGGGTGTGAACCCTACAGGCAGGAGCGTCTAATCACAACCACAAAATGATTGGTCCAGAGCTCTGTGGCTTTATTCAAAACCCATCTTAATTTTTCTTAAAATTTCTACTTTAATAAATAGAATAAGGAATATTTCTATGGGATTAATATTAAGGCATTTTTATGTCATATGTACTATGTTTTATAAAATTTATTGTGAGAAACTTGGAAACTATAGAAAAGTATAAACAAGAAAATAAAATCAGACCTTGTCAACTCATAGTCAATGTATTGTTTGTGTTTGGTGAATAACTCTAGTCTGCCATTCCCCCCCCCCCCCTTCCCTCTTTCTCTTCTTTCTCTCCATCCTTCCTCCAACCTATCTCCAAATCTATCAATATTTCCATCTCTATAGATTTTTCCCCTCAAATGTCCAGTTTTACTGCATTTATACTTATGTTTTACTCTGCAGTTAACATTATATGGGAAATATTTTCTCATATTTTAAAATATTTTCTAAACATTTTCAATTGAATGGTATAATGGGTCATAATTTAATTAATGGACCTATTGTTAGATGTTCAAGCTGGTGACAGGTTTTGTTTTGGGTTTTGGTGTTTTTGTTTTTTGTAATTAAAAGTAATCCTATAAAATTATCTATGGGCATAAAGTTTTGTACGGTGCTCTGGTCATTTCTTTAACATAAAATCTTAAGTTAAAATGTTAGAACTTGTAGTGCTGGGCCAAAGGGAATACATATTTGAAGGTATTTGATACATATTAGGAAATTATTCTCCTGAATGGTTATCTAATTTAAACTTCCACCAGTCTTATATAGGAGTGATCTGGGGCTCTTTACTTATAGGATTTTCATCACTGATCTTGGAGATGAACTAATTTTAGAATTCAGAATTATAATTCAAAGCAGTTTTGACAATTCAGAGAATTATTTAGTTGATGGCAAGTTAAAGTTCAGTAAAAAATTAGGCTAGGAGAAATAGGACAGATAAATATTGCCAAAATCTGTTTGCAGAGTAGTTTTTTTTTGTTTTGTTTTTTTTTGGCACACATTGCCTGAAGGAAAATCCAGGTAACATAGAGACTGTTACTACATTTTTTCAAAGCCCTGTGGAAGATTTTGGTATGTTAAGGTCTGTTCTCAAATGCAAAGTAAAAGAAAGCCCATTTGAACTAACACTTTATTCTAAAAAGACTTAAATTTTTATATTTTTAGCTATTAAGAATTCAAGAACATTAAATCTTTGTTTTAATCATTTACTATAATTATCTGAGCATAAATTGAATTTAAAAAGGGTTTTAAATCTATGGTGACAGAAGATTATTTGATTTTGTGTGGTGGACACATAATGCAATATACAGATAGATCATGTATTATAGAAATGTACACTTGAAACCTATATATAATCTTATTAACCAATGTGACTCCAATGAATTTAATTTTTAAAAAGGTGAAAAAGAGTGAAGGAGGAATTTTTTTTAAAAAGGGTTTTCTGAAAGTTACTATTGATCTTCCCTAAATTAAAGAGATTATATTTAGGAAGTTCATCTTTTTTGTCCCCACATTTTAGGAGAAACAATTATCTTTACCATGCAAATGGTACATCAAGGATAGGAACCACAAAGACTCTGAATATCCAAAGCAGTCTTGAGAAAGAAGAAGAAAGTTGGAGGCATTATGCTACCTGATATTAAATTATACTACAAGGCAATAATAGTCAAAACAACATAGTACTGGCATAAAAACAGACACATAGATCAATGGAACAGAATAGAGAACCCAGAAATAAACCCACAGCTATATGATTAAATTATCTATAAAAAAGAAAGCAAGAACATACACATGCCAAAGAAGGAAACCATATCACTTTCTGACACCTTATATAAGAATAAACAGAAATTGGAGGGACACATCGAGGGGCTGCCACCCACACAACCCAACCAGGGCCGGGGACAAACTGCAACCAAGGTACGTGCCCTTAGCGGGAACCGAACCCGGGTCTCTCCGGACCACAGGCCAATGCTCTAACCACTGAGCCAAACTGGCCAGGGCCAGAAATTGGATTAAAGACTGAAATGTAAGACCTGAAACTGTACAACTCCTAGAAGAATACATAGACAGTAAATATTTTAACTTCACTTTATAAGTTTTTTTTTTTTTTTTGGATATGACTTCTGGGGCAAGGGAAACAAAAAATGAACAGATGGGACTACATCAAACTAAAGAGTTTTGCACATCGAAGGAATCCATCAACAAAACAAAAAGGCAACCCACTTAATGGGAAAAGACATTAGGAAGTGATACATTCTATAAGGGATTAATATCCAAGATATATAAGGAACTCATATTACTTAACACCAAAAAATTAAACAATCAATTACAAAATGACAGAAGTCCTGAATAAACATTTTTCCAAAGAGGACATACAGATGGCCAGTAGACAATGAAAAAATACACAATATTACTAATCATCAGGGAAATGCAAATTGAAACCACAATGAGATGTCATTTCACACCTGTCAGACTGTCTATCATCAATAAATCAACAAAAATGTGTTAGTGAGGATGTGGAGAAAAGGGAGTCCTCATGCACTGTTGGTGGGATTGCAAATTACTGCAGCCACTGTGGAAAACAGTATGAAGATTCTCAAAAATACAGCCTTGGACAAAAGTAGGTTAACAATTATGAGTATGTGAAACAGTTTATTTTTGTATTATTATTTCTTAATTATTGTATTATTTTCCATATGAATAACTGTAAACCTACTTTTTCCCCACTCTGTATAAAACTAGAACTACCATATGACTCAGCAATTCTTCTGGATGTTTCCCCAAAGAAATCCAAAGTACTAATTTGAAAAGACATATGCACCTCTATGTTCACTGCAATGTTGTTTAAATAGTCAAGATATGGAAGCAACCTACATGTCCATCAATAGACGAATTGGTACAGAAGACATGGTACATGTATACAATGGAATATTACTCAGCCATAAAAAAGAATGAAATCTTGAAATTTCTGACTACATGGTTGGACGTAGAGGGTATTATGCTAAGTAAAATAAGTCAGTTAAAGACAAATACCATATGATTTTACTGATATGTGGAATCTAAAATACAAAATGAACAAAGAAGGCAGAAACAAACTCAAATATAGAGAACATTTTGATGGTTGTCATATAGGGTGGGTTAAGGGGATGGGTGAAAAAGGGGAAGGGATTATATGTACAGATTGCCAGTTAAAAAAAACAGTCACTGGGTTGTGAAGTAGTACAGCATAGACAATGTCATCAATATTGTAATAACTGTGTATGGTGTCAGAGAGGTACTAGACTTATCAGAGTGATCACTTTTAAGTTACATAAATGTCTAATCACTATGTTGTATACCTAAAACTAATATAATATTGTGTGTCAACTATAATTCAAAAGCAAAAATGTTGTTACAGAGTCTCAGTTCTACCCCTGATTTACTGAATTAGAATTTTGGGGGGATAGGAATATGTATATAAATGTGTATGAGATATGTAGAGATTTATATATCCCTCTGAGATTCTGATGTGTGCCATTTGTTAGAAGCCACTAAATGAATTAATGTGCTTTTTTCCCCCACCTTAAGAATTTGTCAAAATGTCTGAACCTACTGTTTTGAGTATTGATATATTTCATATGCACACGTATGCATTTTTCTTCTGCATAGTTTTCATAGTGTTTTCAGTATCTGAGAAATTCTTCTGTTACTTGATGTCAAGTTGTATTATGAACTTATTAATTAGTGTTACTCTGTAAGATCAATTTTGAGGAAATGAAATGCAGTGCAGAAGTTAAAAGGCACAGGTGTGAAATAACATCTCATTGTAACTATTTTTCTTATTGCACCACAGGGACAAAAGCCAGGATGGATAATCAAGTCTGGTATTTGAGAACTGCAAAGCTGGCTCTGGCCTTGGCAATCATCCGCTCAAAACCAGCAGACAGAAGCAGCAGAGAGTACACAGAGCACCTTGCGCGGGTGGTGTCGGGGCAGGACTCGAAGTGGAGATCAAGAGTTGAAACCTTGGAAGCGGAAGTCCTTCAACTACGTCAAAAACTTCTACTGAGCAGGATGTGTTCTGGGTTGTTTACGAGAGGTGAGTGTGTGAAATTGCCTTTTGGTAATACATCCCTTTGTTTTGTTTCAGCTTCATAAGTTTTTAGAAATTTTTTCATTTCCTAAAACTAGACTTCTTGCCCTTTAAAGATTTTTTACTTCTAGTCATTCATTAAAAACGTTATTGTCACTTCCTAATGAATGGGCAACATTAGACAGTGGGATAAATTTAAAGAATGAAAATAGAGGTGAAGGCAGTAATGTTTTAATCTTACAGATAAATTAATTTTAAAATCACATTGTTCAGCCTTATTGTTATATATATATTTTTGTGTGTGTGTGTGTGTTGCTTTTATATTAAATAATTCATCTAGCAATCATGTGTCAAGTACCAGCTATGGCCCAGGCATGAAATGGGTGATGAGAACCCAACAATGTAGGAGTAGATACTGTCCTTGCCATTAGGTTCCTACTATTCTAACAGGAAAAACAGACCTATAAGTAATTAACCCAGTTGTGATAAATGGGATAACAGAGGCTCTAACAAAGTGCAGAGGGAAAGCCATTCATTCTGCCTGGTCTAGAAAGGTTTCCTGAGCCTGGCCACCAGTCAGTGAGGTGGTCACCGAGCAGGCTGCAGGGGGCAAAGGCACAGCAGCCGAAGATACATGTCCCTTCAGGATACCGCCAGCATTGCATTTCAGGGTGACCAGAACACCGGGAGCAGAGATGTGAGGGGGAGAAGGGAAGAGAGGTGAGTTGGGACCAGGTTCAAAAGGGCCCTGAATGTCAGCATAGGGACTGTTTTGCTGTATTTCCCATCAGGAAGTTGACCATACAATTTGGGTCTCTGTGGGACCCCTATGACAGTGAAAGGCAGGGACTTTTAATTATACTGGGACAACAGGCAAAAAGCAGGACGCGAACAAACTGGAATGTGTGGTCACCCCATTCATCAGAAACCAAATAACTCCTGATGCAGAGGATTGACCTCATATTGGAATTGGGAAATATAATTCTCGTGATTTAATAAAAGAAGTTAGTTAGATCATGTTACTTTGTGGAAAACCCTTCTCTCAATTCCAGATCTGCTTCACATTGGATACAGACTTGTGATCATTGCCCATAATGCCGTGGGTGATTTCGCCTCTAGTCACCTCTTCCGCCTTGTGTCGTACAGCCTCCCCCCTGTAAACTGTTCCAGCCACCGCGGCCTTCTTCCAGCCCTCGGGGCTGCTTCTTGCCTTGGGCCTTTGTTATGTTCTTTTCCTTGACTCTCTTTGTGGCTGGCCTCTTCCCTTCCTAGAGCTCTTACTCAAAATGATACCCCCTAAGAGTCTTCTCTGTACACATGGCACCCCCTTACCAGTTATTCTTTAACCAATCACCTGCTGTGGACTATTTATTTGTTTACTTGGTTGCTGCTTAATCTCTGAACTAGAGCCTAAGTTCACTGAGGAGAATAGGTCTTTGACTTGCCAAGCACTCTCTGCTAAATGCCCACCCCAAAGCCTGACACACAGAAGGTGCTCCATAAATAATTGTCAGATGGAAGTGGAGCAGAGAGGATGTTTTGGCTGTAGCAGTGACTGGAGACAAGGAGACAAGATTTAAAAGCATTTCCAAAGCCAGTGTGAAGAATGATGAGTTGTACTAGATCCTGTGACAGGGAGAACTAAAAGGAGGTCAGACAGACGTGAACGATTTCAGAGCAGACACTGCAGACATTTGTGAATGATTTCTGAGCGTGGTTAAGGGAGACAGAGGCGTTTAGGATAACTGAGGTGTCCAGTCCTGGTATTGAATTGGTTGTGGTGCATTGCATCCAGGTAGTGAACATGGAAATAAACTTGTAGAATAAAAGGTTGAGTGCAGATTTGTCTGAGTATGGTCTCATCCCTGGATATACAGGATCCCTGGATATACAGGGATTACCCAGAAGGAAGGTGGAAGTATGGTCCTAAAATTCAAAGGGATGAGCGAGCTGGAAATGGAGATGCAGACTTAAGATTTATTGACATATAAGTAATAGTTGAAGGTATAGCTGTAGATAAGACTCATTGGGAGAAGAGAGCTGGGAGCTGGGGGTACTGTGGTTGCCCACATTCCAGGGTGGGCAAAGGAAAAGGAGCCATGGAAAAGAATGTGAGTGTCACATTAGGAGAACACAGGTGTAGTACACACATAGTTGCTAAGGGTAATAGGTTACTCACCAGCTTTAGTTTGGGGGATTATCAGGAAAGCTCATTAACCTAATAACCAGATGTTACTAAAATCGGATTATTGTGTGAGAGAAATAGTGTTATGTGATTAATAGCCACATTTTGGTCTCCCTAGAGTCTGGGTAATGGTACCCAGTGAATGACAAACATAATCAGTTTTCTTAATTTTTTCTGTAAAGTTATATGATTGACATAATACACACATATAAACATTTCCAGTAATCTTAAAGTGTGACTATCATAAACATGCATGATATCAAAACTGTTGTTTAGTGTGAAGGGTCTATTTATAACACTGATATAATGATATGTATTTTTTGTTTGGAATAAGTGTGTCCCTAACAGTGAGAGCCTAGGTGATAACTTGTTTTTACACTGAAAACTTTCGCTTACAGCACCTGTGAGAGAAATTTTCCAATATCGTATAATTAAAATCAGTTTTACTCACAGTAGGAGTCGCAGGTAAAGCGTTTCATTGCAGATGTTTGGAAGTAATCAGTCTCTTCATCTGTCAGCTTAAACTTGAAAAATGCGGAATAAATGGATAGATTCAGATAGATAGAGTCACTTTTAAAGGGAAACGAAAAAAGCTTACAGGGGGTATTAGATTGATAGGAAAGTAAAGGAGGAACACAGATGTTATTTCAAGATACAGAGAGTGAGAACCTGACATGCCTTGCTCTGATAAAACTCCATTTCTGAAAATTAAAACGATACTATAGATGTATTTATATCGTTAAGTATTTCTTTCTGGAATTTTCAGGGTTGCTTTACATAGGCAACTGTTCTTGAGCATTTAGACAGTAGGCCCTCGATAAATGCTGATTGGAATACTTCTTGACAGAATGAGAGGGTGGGAGACGTAATTTACAGCATCAACTACACATCGAAGCAACTGAGCAACCCAGAATTAAATAAAGCAGAGCCGAAATATCAACGTAAACAAATAAGGAAGTGACATAATTTTTAAAGCATTTTAGGAACTCAGCTATTTATTTTAATTTATTTTTCTACAACCTCTTAAAGAAAACTATACTTTTTAATATTATTTATTAAGGCACTAGATTATACAAAGAAGGGATAAATAGAATTTGCTTAGAATTATGCCACATTTTTATTTTACTTAAATGCTCCTTAGTAGTGGGGAGGAGGGAGGGAGGAAGGATCAAAGAAGCCCGGCTATCCAGTGACATTTCTCAGAACCCTTGTGGTGATGCACAGAAGACACAGTTAGTTCTCTACTCTATGTCTAGGTTTTTTCTTCCTTACTAAAGCACTCCAGTTTTCTTTAGGAAGAAATGAGCTTATATCCAGTGAATTAATTCATGAACACCTTAGACTTGTTTTGCCAGTATTGTTCTAAGATTGGGCAGCGGCCAATGAAAGGTAAAAAGCTGTCTTACAAGCTTTTGAAAAATATTTGCTTCTTTGTATAAAGAAACCGAGGTTCATGAAAGAGAGCATTAAACTTTTTTTTTTTTTTTACCTCAGTTATCCTTTTCCCTGTATGAGGCACTGTCACATGAGATGCAATGACTGGAACTGTGGTGGCCGTTTTGCAGCTGTGAGGCAGTACTGCAAAGAATGCCAGCATGCTAAGGATGGTGAAGTAGTAGGATGAGGAAAACCGGGGTCCTTCTTGACACTGCTGAGCAGTCAAAGTACCTCGAGGTTTACTGGCTTAGGCATTTTTAAAAAGGTAAACAGTAGTTTAAGCCATTGTTATTTATGTATTCTCTTCTTTGTATCTGAACACAGCCTAATTTATAGAGCTGGGGAGAAAGGGTGAGGTCCTAAATAAATTAGAGCAATACTAATTTTCCTCCCAAGAATCTTCTTGATCTACATGAGAGAAAATGAGAGAGAAAACTGTGTCCTTTAATCTAGAACAGTTTCTTAAAGATGGCTTCATAATGTCGGCAGGGATTGCATCTAGGTTCGGAGCCTGGGGACTGGCCAGGGAGGGGTGTTAGTGACTGTTCTTCAGTGTTGACTGGTGAAGGGCATGGTAACAGGAGCAGTGCCTGCTGAGTGTGTGAGTGTGAGTGTGAGTGTGTGTGAGAGAGAGCTGGGCAGGGAGGGGACTCCGGAGGCTGCTTCATACTGACAGTAGTTTGGCATTCACAGGAGGGAAGTAGACAGGTGAAGTGTCAGGTGTGTGTTTTTCCTCCAGTTGTATGTACTCGCTGTGTATTTATAAATGATGGATAGGCTGCTGGAGGAGTAACTGGAAAGTATCAAGAAAGTAGGACAAATTAAAATTAAATGAATTCATTGCTTTACATGTTTATCTGTGAAGTTCATTGAATACAGAGCATATACAGAGAGTGTGGAGGTGGTATGTAAAGCGGCACAATTAGTTTAGGTTGAACTTAGCTCATCTAAATTTAGGGTCCAACCAGATGGCTTTAGGAGCATCCCTACCCTTCTAGCTGACAGTGCCTTGGGTTGTTCACCCCTCCCTTATTGCCCCCTTGGAGTGCTTTACACCCCGCAGACTGAGCCCCCCGTGTTCCGTTGCCTGCTCTGGACCCTGCTTCCCAGCTTATGTTAAGTCTGGATTTAACAAAAGGTTTTTAGCTATACTGGTGTTGCCCAAGGGTCAGAACAGTGGCTGGATATCCCAGCTGACCATGTGTACCTCATCAGAACTAGCATGGACCTTGTCTTTTTCCCCCGATGGCTGCTTTTCTGGGAAACTCAGCCTGTGTCCCATCTCTGTTCTTACCTTGCCCCAGACCATGTACTAAGGTGACACTGCAAACAACCAAGTAACAGTCACGTTTCTGGAGCTCAGCATGCATATTTTGGAGCATTC